TGTACATGCAATCCATTGTACAGCCCAGAGATTGTAAGAATCCAGACAACGTAAAGATCAGAGCAAGACCATACATTTATTTCCTTTTCTTCCTCTGTTCAAATATGTCTAGGTTGATTGTCAAACTCCATTCTTACTTGGTAGACAGTGATATTAATATGAAATTTCCTAATTGTTTTTCTTCTTCATACTTTCCTTGTTTTTCAAGATCTTTCCATCTTCCCAGTTCTATCCTGGGCTCATCTACTAGGCTGATGTAACATAATTCTCTCTTTCATTTTTTGTGCTTATTAATTAATATAAACATATTAAAATGATAGTGAGAGAAGTATCAATTTTTAGGCTCAATAAGATAACACTATAATTTTTGTTGTGTTTGCATTTTTAAATTATTTTAAAAATATCCATGGCATAATGTGGTCAATGAATTTTGCTTTAAGCACAAATAACACTTACAGCCTGATCACATACTCTTCTACATGTTGGAAATCATATATACATAAGAAGATGACAACTACTACCAAGTATTTTACCCCCTTCAAAAGCTCAGATGTGTGCACCAGGGCATATCAGGTGAGAATCAAGTAGCTTCAGTCTGGATTACAGTTTCTACCAAAATAATTTCAATTGTATTACAATTTTAAGGGAAGATCTTTTCTGTGGGATAATTTACTTGAATAGTATATTTTGATGTAAAATAATGCAAGACTAACTACAGAAACAGCTTTTCGTGCTGTTATTTAAACGTGCTATTTGCATTTATATTGCTTCATATGATGGAAAGTGTTTACATGGTATTTAAAAATTTGGGATTGATGAACTCCTAAACGTGCCTATGGGGTTTGAGCAAAATGTTTCCTTTTTTCCTTTTTGTGTAGTAGAGTAAAAGACTTATGAGGAAAAAGAGATTTCATGGTACAGTACTCTAAAATTTATGGAGTATTAAACAGAGAACTAAATGAACCTGAAATAATTCATACACTACCTAATAGTAAATCAAGCCTTAAAGTAGTTTCCCAACCCTAGTAAAGTGTTTTCAAATGGGAATTAAAGCTGAAATTTTCCAAGAATATTGATTGGAGAAAGGTATTCAATAGCAGCTCTTTTCTTTCCTTCCTTTAAGAATATAATACCTAACATCTAAATGAGACAGTATCTTGTTTAGAATTAAGAAGCAGATTAGAGACTTTCCAGGTGTTAAAGGGTGTTGAAGTTTCATACCTACAACATACAGTACAAGTTGAGCCCATTGGTGGTGTGGTGTTTCTCCAAAAGCAAGGACCAGAGGTTCTTTGTGGGTCTTATCTCAATTCTCCTCTTTCTGGGTTCAGTCAGGTAAGTTATGGTCATTTCTGTGTAATGACATTAGGCTGATAGAGTCTTCGGATTTTTTATTTGTTCTGTAATATGTAGAGTTCAGAAATAGTGAACCTTCAAAGGTGAATCTGTTTTTCCCTGTATACAACATCTCACAGTGTTTCATGCTTCTCAGCCTCCAAATGGAGTTATGTGAGATTCAGTCACTTCATCCTGGTGCAGGAGTGGTAGTTGTTGTAGCTATAGAGGTGGGAGGGATGTGGTCTGATTAAAATTGATTCTGAAATAAGAGCATCAATTTTGCATATTCTGATCCATGCTGATTCAGAAGGGAATTAATTAATGATTCGGTACTTTGCTGTTTCCATCTGCTTTGATGAGCTCACTGTGAAACACTCCATGGAAATAACCAGCCCTGGCTTTGGTCAGGGAGGAGATGGGAGCACTGGCAGTAAAACTAAAGTTATATCAAAGACATTGGCCTTGTTCTTCATGTATAGCCATGACTGTAATCTGTTCAGCTACTTTTTAAAATCTATATCTGTACCTGGGGTAACATTTTCCCTGGAGTCACCAAGCAACACTCATATTTTCTCATGGAGGATTTTGCCTTACCTGTATAGTCAGGCAAAGATGAGTTAACTTGCACAGGACACCCTGCCATTATTGGTTTGTTTCTTTATTCACAGAGAAAGCAAGTACACAAGTACATTTGTCAGAGTCATTTAAATCATTGCTTAAGTCATTCAGAAGCCATGCTTATGTGCAAATACTTTTTAACATGTTGCATGCATTAATTATTCATACTTCTCAACATCATAAAGCATTTGCATATATTGCTCTAATGTTGTTGAGGGCTTCAGTGGTTTATCCAAAACCTCGAAAGGAGTCAATACAATTTGCAGGATTAGATCTCAAGAGTATCTGTGGACCGGAAGCCTGATTTCAGTTTCTGCAGACCCCTTCTTCTCTCCATGTGCTCCTTTCTTGTATTTGACATGGAAGTCTGTCACTCTATTAACAAAGAAACATTTCAAAAGTATGTTTCCCAATATGTTTCATTTGACATTTTGAGAAAACGTATGCTGTCATGCAACTTCATAGGGCATAATGGTATCTTCAAACAAAGTATTTACACAAACGTTGCAACTTCCTTGATCACTTTTCTAGTTTGATTTGTAGATGCAGTGATGGTGGCAGCATCATCGGCAGATCAGAGGCAGAAGCCACATTGGGGTGACATGTGAGGTTGGCATATAAAGTGAAGAGGGCTGTGCAGTGCAATGAAATAAGTGGAATAAAATTAATTCCTTGGGCAGAAGAAGCCTGAATACATAGGTTTACCCTCGAGAATTTAAGCTTTCAGCCGACACCTCACTTACAAAAAATCTAGGCTTGGTGTAGACAGATAAAGTACCCATGGATGGACTAATCTCTTTTTATATGTAAGTGGCACAAAGAATCAGGAGAGATCAGGAAGCCCTGAGGGAAAAAGCAGCTGACATCTGTGGCAGTGGAAGGAAAGGGATCCCCCCTGCAAGGGGAAGGCAGTGCTGTCAAGATGGAGCCCAGCAAAATGGTCTCTGCTGGGGCATTTGTAGGAAGCTGAAGGACATTTCTCAAGGCCTGGGAGGAGATGACGGGACACCATGGAGGCCTGGATGAGAGATTTAGTTTTAAGCTTCTAAAGGAAAACACAGATTGTGGGGATACTTTTTACAAAGATGTTACAGATCCTGACCATAATTCGTACTCTTTGTGGGGGGGGAAAAACACAACACAACAACAAACAAACAACAACAAACACCAAAAAAACCAGAGAAAACTGAATCTTTTTTTTTCCAGAGACCACCATAAGTAGTGACGATATCCATGTCTGTATTTTACAGCTGTGTGTATTCCCTGGTTACAGATACTGCTCAACAGCATGAACTCATTTCTACAAACCTCAGGCTTGTACTTTTGTACCCAATGGGTTTCTGCCATGGGGAAAATAAATTCTTCTTAATCACCACTGAGGCTTCTTTACCCCATTATTTTGGTTCACGTTGTTTATTTTTATTTGTAGGCACTCATCAGCATAATGAACTGTTGCCTACTACAGCAGGATTTGTTGGATACCTTAGGATTTTTTTTCCTACTTCTCTGTATGTCATTCATAGCATTTTATATTCTTTCCATTTGCTAGAAGCTTGGCAAAGCATTACTGATATACTATCAGAATTGTTTTCACTGAAATAAGATAATCTGTAGCATCAATAATTGATAAAAGAAATAAGCATTTTACAGAATTTTAACAGGAGTGAAAAAGGCTAAATGCATATGGGCAGACACATAGCTACACATACTTTTAGTGCATCACACAAAGCTTACAAAGGATGTGGTATTGGATGACTGTGTAAACTTCAAAAAGGACATGACAGTAGTGTGTTTTCTCAGCCACTTTTGAACAGATGCTTCTAGGATGAGATGTTCAACTGCTGCACAGTTTACACAGTTAGATCATGTGTCAGTTTAGAAAAACGTATTAATTGCAGGATGAATTGTCGATGAATATACAGTATACATAAAACTGGAAATTATCCTGTATGCCGTGATTCACTTTCTGTTACTGACATGAGGAACTAAGTTCACTTGAATAGAGTCACACATGTGATAACTGGCTGGAAATACCCAGTACAGAGCATTAATTTTACATTCAGCTGTTATTTTCCTGTCCCAAAAGCAGGCAGGAAAACTGGAGCTGGTCCCTGCATCAGCTGTCTTCTCTGCCTGTCCTCCAGCATGCAGGGCATGGGGCACCCGAGGACGCATACCCTGCCACTGAAGCTACCAAATACTGACTGAAACAGCATCATTTGGGACTGCCTGTCGGTGACATTCATGTGAACTGGAAGGTTTTCTGAATTGAGGGAGCTGAACTCTGTGCTGCTCCTCCTCTATCAGTACTCAGTGGGGCTAGAAAGTCTGGACCAGAATTTAAGGACTCTAAGTGATCATAAGTTTCCAGTTATTTACTGAAAATGGCATTGCATTGCTCACCTGTGCTCAACACTCTGCTCTCCGCCTTTTGGGCATGGAGGTGGAAGGGAAGAGTGCCACCTGTTTCCTCAGTTTGGTAGCTTTCTTCTTATCTAAGTTCACTGCTTTTTAAGGTCACTTATCCACAGTTAAGCATTGCCATGACTGTGAAACTGTGCAAATGGCTTTGGAAGGAAAAGTTTAAGAGAGAAGTTGCAAATAAGCTCTTTGATTCCAAAGTTCAAAGAGTTCAGCAGATCAGAACTACTCTTGTGATTTTAATAAACTTGACATGTAGGTAGCAGAGAGAAAATGCATCCCTTACCCTCTCCCCCACTGCCAGCAATGAAGAGATTTCACTGAACTACACCATCCTTTAAAACACAGCTGGCTTAGAGGGCAAGGAAAATGATTGCTTTTGCCAAATACGGTTTTGTACTGGATGTTGGTAGTATGGTAACCTTGTTTGTAAAATTATTAAAGTACTTGTCTAATTTTAAGCAGCTGAATATTGCCTTTTTTTTTTTCTAAGATTATCACATGCTTAAAATGAATACATTCTTTCTTAAAACATGTGTGGGTTTGGAGATTTAAATACCCACATTCTGCTGATAGGTGTCAAGTCTTTTGAAACAATTTATATTTCTGTTTTTGCCCCCTAGGTGGACACCCATGGAAACATTCTGCTTACATCGCTTGAAATTCACAACGAGGTGGCAAGCAACGAGGTCACCACCAGTGTAACAGATGCCAGAAATTCAACAATATCCTTTGACAACTCAGGAATCCAGTACAGAAAGCAAAGCTCACATCGCGAAAGCCTCGGAAGGCGTTCATCAGAAAGAACAGGATCCCACAGCAAGAGAGGCCATTTACGAAGAAGGTCTTCACAACTGAAAATAAAAATCCCTGATCTAACAGATGTGAATGCCATCGACAGATGGTCAAGAATGGTGTTTCCATTCACATTTTCTCTTTTCAACTTAATTTACTGGCTATACTATGTTAACTGAGTGACTGAACTTTTTTAAAGGACTTCAATTATAACAAGTGAAGTACTACTTGCCTGCAGAGTTTATATATATATTTATATATGAAATATATATATATATGAACTTTTACTATGTAGACCATACTCATGTATGTGTGAATACATATAGCAAAGAACTGTGTGTGCTTTAAAAGCACACACTGCAAAACAGAACTATATGTATGCACACACACATGTACACATTCATTCTGGACACTTTAACATAGGATGCACTTCAGAGGAACTTTTTAAATCAAAAGGCAGGTGTCGTCAAAGCAACAAGCCTTGAGAAAGTAAGTGTTGTATATTATCACTACAAAACTTTGATTGTCATAGAAATTTTGAAACAGCTGTAATCGTGTATAAAGTCAGTATTTAGTAACATTGTAAATGCTGCCATACACACTAATCATAAAGCGATAGAGTTACACTGGTAAGTTTAAAATAGGTCATTTATATTGCAGATCCATCAACTATGATTTCATCAAGCCAAGTTTATTTTTCTTTCCTAAAATTTCTTGGGTTTATGTATGTCATAATGCATTTTTTCCCAGTCCTGAATGGGTATTGTTTTTAATGATCTCTTGCTTTCTCTTCTACAGTAGGCAAGCTGATCATGAAGGTGTTGCTCTAGATCTTTGGAGACATATACATGTTCATAATATTTCAAACAAGCATTTTAAGTGTCCATCAACACTGAAATGAATCTTTTGTAAGTACTGTAAATGTACAGCACATTTTCCTTCCTTTGGACTGGTTCCAGCTGCCATGTCATTTTGAAAGAGAACAGCACATTTTTAGTATAATTTAGCTGAGAATTCAACTACTGTCAATGTGGTCTACATCTGCTGTAGATTTAAAGATTGTTATTCCAGTGAAAGCATAGAAGATGTCTCAGGTTATTTGTTACTTCTACATGAAACCACCTAGCTGTAGCCTTTTTTAAACATGCATTCACATTATTTAACATTCTTATAACATTGTATGTTAATGTAAAATATATTTGCATAATATGCATATAAGTATATTTTCTCAATATTTTTCTTCCCTGTGCTTGCTATCGTGACCGCATGCATGCTATGTCATATTTTTGTTTCTGTGCTGTTACAACTTTTTATTCTCTAGAATTGAACAAATAGAGTACTTCTGATACTTTGATTCAGTAATGGAGCATTTTCATATTTCATTTATATACTTAAAGTGTATACACGTACACTTATCAAGCTAGTGTGCTACCGTCACAGATCACAAGAGATAGCAGACAATTTGTTTTATTTCAGCATCAACTATGTTCAAACATATCCTTCATGCAAATGTGACCATTTTGGTTTTCATCGCAGTTCATTCCCTCACCAGGATTCCAACTTTTTTCAGTCTAGTAGATTGTAGTTGTCAAGGTATGCCAATTTCAGATCTGTAAACTTAATTTGTTATTTATCAGAACTAAACCTTTCTAAAGAAAAGAAGATATATATTTTTTGTAAACAGTGTTTCTATCATGTACATTCACAAATAACAACAGATACAGTAGCATAAATAGATAAAAAATAATTCAGGCCTGACCCTGCCAGTTCTCTGCATGCAGAATTCCTCTGGACATCGATGGGAATTTTTGGCAGATAGAGAGCTTTGGATGTTAGTTAGAGATGTCTATGGGAGAAAAATGTGTGATACGCATTTACCAAAACCATCAAAAAGGGATGAAACTGAAAAGGCTGCCTTGGCTCTGTAACGATCTGTGTTCTAGTAGTTGATTTATCTGTGAGTAGAGCAATGATACTTGTGTTGCTGCCGTGTACAGTCCCTTTCTGTTCCCACCCCTGGACTATTTGCAACTGAACTGTTGCTCTGAGCTGAAATTCAAAGTAGAGGAACCTGGGCTGCGGTGTCTGTGTTGCAGTTCCATCCCCAGGGCTTCTCCTTGAGCAGGAATAGGCTCTGTGCAGTTGCCTTGCAGCAAAGCTGCAATGCGATCCCCAGCTGGGAGTGTTCCCCACAACCCCGGCTGCCGGCGTGTGCAGGATCAGCACCGCAGTCCCACTGCATCCTTGGCAGTGGTGCAAAGTGGCTGTAACTGCAGTTTTAAAGCACTGTATCTGCAGATGACTCTACAGTATGAAGAGCCTCAAAGGAACCCGTAAAGTTGAAGCAGAAAAATTTGTTTTTTAAAAGCTCCACCGTTTTGGCTCCCATTAGTAAACCGTAATGTGTTATGAGCTCTCTGGTATCTCTTCAAACTGTGGAGGGATTATAGAGCACATTCTCGTGATTATAATCAAAGTAACTGAACAATTAACCCGCTCCCAAAGTACGTATTTGGTAGAATTGTTGAAAAGCCTTTCCAAGTTTTTATCCTAATATCAAAATATGATGAAACAAAAATACCCAATTTTCATAAAATTTAAAAATGGTAGGCTTTACTTTAGAGAAATTACCCTAATGAAATGATCTTTGAGCAAGTCTTTCAGTAAGTGTGTTAAAGAACTACCCTGAGAAAAGGGGGATTCAAGAAGAGAGTGGTCCCACCCTCATGATTTAATCACAGTTCTGTTTTCAAGCCCCAGCTCCTAGAAATCGTGTGGTCAGGCAGAGATCTTCAACAAGAAGAGACTTTTTAGCTGTGATAGAAATGTGTACTCAAAATCCCACTGAAATCAGTTCTCCAGTGGCTTCAGCCAGGATTTCCAAGCAGATGGAAAATTACTGTCTGACCAGAGCTAAGAGGCAATGTGCATTTTCAGGACTCTGCATAGGCAAGAGAACTGAGTCTCTGAGAGCTCTCCCTCTCTTACCCTTTGCACAGCAGGAGGGCAGCGTATCACTGCAGCCCTTATGAAACTGTACTCCCCGCCTTGCCTCCCATCGCAAAATGGGGGCAGTTGCACGTTTCAGCTTTTTTACAAGATTTCATATGCATCAGTCTAGTTGAGTTCCATGGGACACAAGCAGCTTGAACCTTGAACTGATCCAAGTCTTGGTTTGACTTGAAAAAAAACAACCAGGAAATTCTCACTTAAGGTTAACACTTCATCTTTAACACGCATTTTTGTGCCTTTTTTTGCCAATTCCCTTCCTTCAGTCCCAGCACCACTTCTGACACACAGGAACACACATACACACACACACACACACACGCACACACATGCACACACACACAAACACAACCACGTGTTAAGAACAGTGTTTGCCTTGACCTCCCATTTTCTGGCTATTGTCCCTCTGTGCTACCTGCAGTGTATGATTTTAACCATAGATGGCTTTAAGACTAAAAATGGTAATTTCAACCAAATTGCATCAGAGTAATGTATTTCATTGCTAATTAACTTCTTTCTAACTCAATGCTACTATAAGTAACATTTACACATTGTTTGTTTGTAAAAGGCATTAAAAAAAAAAAGAAATCCAGAACTATTGTGTTATAGCCCAAAGGGTCAATAAACAGTAGAAATATTATGGTGGTTTAACTTTAAGTTGATTTCATCCCATTGTAAAGATAAACTAAAACCCAGTCTTTTTTTGCTTAAGGCACATCTATGTATTTTTGGTATTCTTCAGCAGTGAAAAAAAAGAATAGTAAAATGGAATGATGAAGAGATGCTTTATGAAAAATATTGATGAATGAATATTCATTTATTAAAAAGGATTTAAAGATTAATTGCTTCCTTTTTTTTCTGGGGTTGGAGGAAGCATGACACCTGTGTTTGGCTACACTTTCATGTTTAATTATATGTTAAATATCGTGGAATGGTTAGTCTTACACAATTTTAAATAAAAAAAAATTGAAAGCATTTTCTTATCAACACACAAGTAACGAAAAGGATTCTTCAGCATTAAACTACTATATTTCCTAGTGCTTTCTATGATAGCTTAAGGAAGAAAGCAAAACTGCATCCACTGACTTAGCAAGATTCTTAATGGCAAATCAACCTCTCCACAAGCTGGAGCATTGCCTGTTAAGAGCAGAAAGTATGTCTTCTACTTTATATGAAAGCTCTACCTGCCCAGGAAGCAAAAGAGCTTTTGATATCAAAACAAGATGGTGTTGTCCTGTTTATTTGTTTCATTAATCAAGTCATAAGTATTTCAAAACAAAGCCAAAACCAGTTTTTCCAGCTATGGTAACTTTATCAGGAATGCTACTTGTGTTTGTTACACTTTTTATTGCTAAGTATTAGTAAGTTATTTTAGAGGAGTCAGGATACAGGTAGATTCCAAGAGAGATTTTTAGTCACCTTGACAGCAGTTCACCAACCCTTAAAACCAAAAAAAATACTCTGAAGATTTGGAAAGCAGGCTCTCCTTAAACCCAGTTGCCATGCTTTGCGTTGGAACAAGCTGTCACACGTTTGCTTAAATCTCATAGTAGATAATGATACATGTCACAACTTTTAGGAGTAGATAAAATATTCAGCAGTGTAGATGAGATTGCAAGGCCTTTGAAGTCAGCAGCAAGGCTCCCTCTGATTTCAGCACATTTCTGTTCACTTTTAGCAACAATTCCCAGATATAAGTAACATCTATTATCTATTTATTCCAGGCCAGCATGTACTGTAGCGTAGAAAAAATTAATGATGTTCCAAACTTAGTTTTGTGATTGGGGATATCTGGTAAGAGATATATCTCTTTTCATACTTTGGAGTTGATGTATGGACAAACATTATCAATTAATTGCTTAAATACTACTCATTATTTTAAAGGAGTTAGGTTCTTTTAGAAATGATTGACTGTTTTCCCCTAATAGATATGGTCCTATTAGTATCAAGATTATTTCCATAGATGTTGGTTTTATAGTCATGACTGCCACACTAGCAAATGCTACCTGCTAATAGAAGTACAGCAGACAGATGAAAATTAAACTCAAAGCGGTATGGATCCCAAGGCTTCTTTGAACATTTTTTGAGCAAAGACAGAATCCTTCATAAGTGCCTTCAAATTCCTCCAAGCACAGGGTCTGAGCTTTTCTAAAATTATTTCAGATTTTGGGTGTTTAATTTATGCCAGTCTTATAGCTTGTGAGGGCCTGACTTGTGGACACTTGATAATCAAACCTTTTGGCAGCTTACCCAACATGCATCATCATTTGTCATACTTGAAAACTAAAGCTGTGCAGATGGGATCTGTAATAGTACAGCAGGAACAACTACTGTCCTAAAACCAGCCAGAGTTTAAATTATTGCCTAATTAACTGAACTTTAGGTAGTGCTTAAGCAAGCGTATTTGTTTGGAAACCATCCCTTACCTTTTGAATGTGCTATGCGGTATGCCTTTGTCCCAGGACTTCAGGTTTATTTAAATCACCAGTTTTTGTTTTATCTGGAAATGGGAAAACCCAGAAATTCGGCTCAGGCCAAGTTTGCCACTGTGCTGGTGTACCTCCAGTGTGGCATAGGAAGAGCACCTCTCTGGGTTTTCCTGAGGCAGAGCTCCACACACCACTCAGGTCCCTGCTCTGAATCTCTCCTCAGAGGCAACGATCTCTCTTCTTTGACTCCAGAGGGAGCCTTAGGCTAAACTCTGAATTATCCCCCAGTTTACCACCAGCAGTTGGCTTCTTTTGGATGTTACTGCTCCTGCTGCAAAAACCTGGAGATAAAGTAGCTATTATCCTAGCTGGCAGGAGGCACACGGGCAAACAGCATGTGTACTTGGGGCTATGACACATCATGGTACTCTTTAGGTTATTCATTCTAAAATTGTATTTAAACAGATTTCAGTTTATGCTCTAGCTTTCAAGGGTTTGCACGCTTGTCTCTAGGTGCTGATGCTTTTTATGTGAATGTAC